CAACATGGTCTGTGCCAAGGCAGAAGCCTGCCCTCCCCTTGCTTTCAGCCTCCCCTGCTTCCAAGACAAGAATGAGAGAGGTTTCAAAATTAATATATATTTTTTATTGAATAGTTGCTCTAAGTGGCTTGGGCAGCCACCAATAGAATTACTTCTTCTATTTCAGCAGTGGTTCAGTATCAGTTATTAGCTTTGCAAAAGAAGAAAACTAAACCAAACAGAAGAGGGTGCTCTAAAATAAATAGGTTATTTTTTATCTTTAAAATAAACTTTTCAAATAAATACTTTGGTTTTTCTTTTTTCTTGACATGAGTATGAGAATATTGTCAAAAACCAGCAATAAGATTATGAGCACGTATTATAACTTCTATAAAGGAAACTAAAGTAAAGAAGGTTGGGAAGGGAACTTTTTATACACTGTACAGAATGCCTTTTGTACCAAATAAAGAATTAGATGCTTCAGTTCTTGGTACGTGATTCCCCTTTGAAGTCAAGAAGTATGAGTCTTCTAAGGCAGAGTTTGTGCTAAAGACAGCTGTGGTACAAAGAAGAAACAGCCTTTTGCCCACAGAGCATCTGATATATTTGAAGGAGCCTGAACAAGGGTAGGTACTGGGGAGAAAAGGGTAGTGAAAAATTCCCCTGGGTAGGAGCAGCCATGCAGGAGAACCAAACATGCCACGTCTATGAATGATCATGCTCATCACTGATATCAGGGTTACAGTGGCCTTGTTCTCCCCCATATAGGAACTGTACCCCCTTGCTATGCAGGTAAGAGAAGCTCTATTCCTTACAGATCCCTGAGTTCTCTGTGCATGGGTCCAGTCCTGCTGCCATCAAAGCTGGCTTGCCTTTTGCAGCTTGCTTTAATGAGAGTGGTGTCTGGCCTTTTTTCTCCAACCCAGTTACACCGCATGCATAATTGATTTCCTTTGCACAGCATTGATACATTCAGTGGTCCGTACTGTGAATGGTCTGCAAGAGGCTGACTGAAAGAGATGTGATTCAACCTAACTCCCTTCATCTGAAATCTTTCCTGATTGCAGCCCATACCATAAGGAGAAATCTTTGGCCCTGGCCCTTTCCCTTTCCCTCACCCTACTAGACATACACTAGATTGGACTCTTCTGAAATAGTCTCCAAGGAATGGTAAAAATAATCCATTTCATGTAAGCCCCGAACTGCTGTCTAGGTTTGATCAGTGGCTACCAGTGACAGAAAGCATTTGCAAATAATCTCTGCTCTAGTATCTCTTAAGAAGAAGGATCTCTAAGAAATCTGAAATCAAAAAGAATTTGAAGAGGATTGCTTTGCCCACCTGGAATGAATGCTCAGTGCCACATAGGGAAGAAATATTTCAGTTGCATGCAAGTGTCCAACAGAAATGGACTTGGCACACTGCATGGGCTCTACATGGAGAGGATGACCCTGAACAAGTTTGGTTGGCCATCTGTAATGGATTACTGAATACATCCACTCTCCCTTTCCCCACCTGTGGAGCAATAGATGTCAGAATTCTTAATACACCCATCCCTCTTGCAATGCCCTGGCTTTTGTCCAGGCTTAGTAAGATTGTACATGCACCATCTGCAAGACACAGCTAGTGGCATGAGCAGCAAATGATGTACTGAGGGAGAACATTGTAAATGGGTTGCTTGCTCAGCCTCAGGCCATGCAGTTCTTGCAATCTCAAGGAGGGGGGTGGAGAAGGGTCATTTATCCTTGTTTTCTGTTTTTGTTTCTTTTTCCTTTTTTTCTTTATTGCATCCAAGCAGTAAGACTGGAGTTGCTCTTGTGAGCTTTTGATTACCTTTTGGGCAAAGGGCCCCCAAATTATTTGGGTCAAAACCACGGATAAGAATATGTCGGATCAAAGAAGTGGCTGGCAGGGATCTGAAACAAATACTAGCAGTGAGCACTTGTAAGATCCCATTAGGTTCTCTGTTAGAAGTCACACTTCTGAAATAAGGACAAAAATTTCTCAATTGGTTAGCATGGTGCAGACTATGCATATAGTCCTATCCCTCTCAACCAGAAGGGTCTAGTAGGACTGTGGAGAGTAGGAGTACTCCATATCCCTCAGCAGTGGCCCACTGAATTCAAGAGTGCTGCAGATGGCCCCTATGGTGGATAGCACCTCTACAGAGGGATAAGTGCTGTAAGGGGTAGCCTTCTGAGGTGTGTCTGAAACTCAGACAAAGACTAGGAGACATCTAGTGCTTCTCAAAAGCAAAGCAAAAAGCTACTTGATCATCTACCCTTCTTGGGGCTTGCTTCCCAGGCAAGTTCTGCACTCACTGGCCAGGTCCACCTTCCCTCAGGGAGGAAAGAACTCTTGGCCATTTCCCTTCCTCCCTCTTCTTCAACACTGGGATCAGGGAGGAAGGGAACCCCTATGCTGATTGTTCCTCTTTCAGGCACCGTAAGAATTTTGCCACTGTACGCAAGGCTCCGCCATAATGGTCCTTCTAAGCTTACCTAAGCTTGCTGTAATGCCTTTCATCCTCTCTAATTTCAGCTGGAAAACATACTCTTCTTAATGAGATCAAAACCAGAATACCATATGTGGTGAATATAGCATTCCACAAAAGGGCCTCTTCATGAACAACGCGTGCCTCCTCAGGCTGGGGCGGCATGGTGACCATCCGCAGGCAGCGGCAGTGTCTGCAGCAGGGGCGTGGTGGCGGCAAGCAGAGACAGCCCGCTGGTGGCTGCAGCAGTGTCATCAATGAGGGAAGAGGGGTGGTGAGCAATGGGTGGTGAGCAGGGGCCACCTGAAGACACCATCCATGCTGGCAGTGGTGGCGAGTGGTGAACAGGGACCACCCGCAACCACTGGCAGCTGCATTGACAGCAAGTGTGGGAAGCGACTGCCCGCAGAAGCCAGCAGCAGCAACTCTCAGGGGGGGCACATGTCCCCCTTTGCCCCCGCCCCATGCATCACCTATGGGCCTCTTTGACAATCAGCCCTTGGGAATGAAACAACACTGTCTTGGCATAATAAAATCACAAGTGCAGAGAGACACCTGGAGAGCCTCATTCAAAGCTCTTACACCCAGTCAGGGGGTGGCTGGAATGTAAAGTTGGACACAAAGTCCAGGGTAACCAGCTCCAAACCTCTGGAGCAGATCTTCTCTTTCCCATGTCCAAACAGACCCAGTAGGTACTAGTTTCATATCTTACAGTAAATTGCATGTTCTGACAGATAAAAAACATCAACTTAGTCTGCAGTTACAAAGGGAAGTCATAAAAAGACCTCCAGGTTGAGGGCTTTCATCTCCTGCCTGATATTAACTAACCCACTTGGCTGATGTTGCTCACCTTGGACAGTTTTTTCGTAAATCCTGGCCTGGTGTCTTCTGTCCTTCTCTAATAAACAGATTTTATGGATGGATTCTATGGACAAGTCGCAGCTAAGCCTTGGGAACCCAAAAAATCTGGGTCTGTATAATTCAGATCCTGGACTTTAATCTGAATTTCATAACTGACATTCACAACAGATTGAACCAAAATCCTTGGGCAGAACATTTCTGAATCTGAGTTCCATCAGAACATTTCTGTGACTCAGTTCCATCTCTGATTTCCATTTATGTGTTCCATATTTTACAGAATGTATTGCACAATATCAAAAAAATGAAAAAGTATAAAATATATCTAAAATGTTACTGGCAAAAACTGGTCAGTAATCCATAGCACAATATGCTTTTGGAGATGAAAATTTTACACTGGAAATTAAAAAGAACATGCAAATAGAATTCAGTAAAACCTGCCATTAACCTTCTGCCAATTACTGGAGATGCCTCTTTTAAAATAATAATCTTGCGTCCAATCTCACACTGCATTTACCAAGCAAAACTCCCAGTAGGCTCCCAGTCAAGAGATGTTTTGTTTGCATAGGGACTGGAAGATGAGTACTTTTGCTCAATATGCAAATTTTCCAGCACTCTGCCGGGGTCACCATGTTTTCATGACATCACGAGGCCTTTCCATTAAAATGATCAGGAAGTCTCACATGTTTATTGAGTTATTCCATGATCAAGTGAAAGGAAAAGGTGGGTCATGAAGGAAGAAACTGAAGAAATTGGCATGCACTCCAAAACCTAAAAATCCCTAGCACTTTGTTTTTAAAAAGCAATGTGTTGGAAGGGACATATTCTGCCAAAAACCATTATGACCAAAAACTAGCCCCAGTAGAAAGTAAGTGGAATGATCAAAAAGTAAGGTGTACCTTTTTACAGGAGTGCCACCAATATAGATTTCTTGGTGTACTTTTTAATGTGACTTTTTACATGACTATGGATCTTGAAAATAGGATTCTGCCTGATTATCTTCATAGACATAGTCAGATGTTTGCAATACATTATGTAATTTATGTAACAAAGAAATGGAATGATCATACAGATGTATATACCCCACCCCCCGTCCCACATAGTGGAATTCTTCTGGAGGAGTCATTATGTTTCTCACAGAACACTTTTCCTCTGAACAGAATGATGTGGTCATCAGAAACTTCAGTGGGTGCATTCATGACTCTCCTTGTTTAATCTGAAATAGAACACCACTATAAATGAGTTTTGGGATGCATGTGTATCATACGGATTTCCTCTGCTTATATAAAGGGGCTTCCATCCTCAGATGGGAAAAGCAGATTCCCACAGCATGGTTCTAGAGTGAAACGTGACAGTATAGCAGGATTCTAATCCACTGGTAGAACTCACCGTGGGATAAACTGGTTATGGAAACTCCTGCCTTCCACCCTTTTCTGTCCTTGCCCCACCCCACAGCTAGCTGCTGAATTGAATTCACCAACCTGCCTGATGAAAAGCAATGCAAAGCCTTGTTAGCAGGCCCTTAAAATACCTCAAATTGCCTATAAACTAAGGTCTAAGAGAAGCATAACAAGAGTTGAGATATTCCTTTGGAGTTTGTAAATGTACCAGGAAGCCAAACCTTGCATATGGCACCATTCACAGCAGTATCATGAATATTATTAATAATAGTCCTAGCCATCATAACATTATATTTATATATACAAAAATATATCAAAGTAATTCTAAACAAAGAGAAGGAGTCAGTGGATATACGAGTGCGACATTTGTGCCGTAAACATTGGAGTGCCTTGGAGGAAGCTTTGGGGCAGCTGGGGTTTTCTTGCATATGTTTCTCTAGTTCTCACATATCCTATAGTCTTCCTGAACCATTTGCTCCAATGGAACAGGAATGTTGTTATGCCCACTGCCCTATACACACATACACACACACACATATGCACACACACACATACACACACGTGTGTGCCTTGGAGGGTGAATGTGATGGTAGAACAGAGCACTTGGTTAATCTGGCTTTCACTCCATGGCCAAGTTTCTGGAGTCAAGGAGGTTGTAACTGAGTTTGGCACCTGACATTTACAGCAGAGGTGGACCTGAGCCAGAAATTTCTAGCTGGATCTGAGCTTCCTCAAGGAGCAGGAATGTTCAGATAGAGAAGGTTAGCTCATTGTAGACAACCAACCAGGAAACACAATCTGGACCTAAAATTCCTCCTTGTCTGAAGATGTCCAGATCTGGGGGTTTGGTTTAGACCCATCTCTAGTTTGCAGCCAACATTTCCTGTCTCAGAACCCCTATATCAACATCAGGCTTGCCTACAGGGTGCAAAGTTGCTCAGCTAAATCTTGCTTTTGTGTAGTGCTCTCTATCACAGCAGAAAATAAATGAGGCACTTTAACTGGGGAGGGTGAGTCAGGTATTACCCACTTCTCTTACCCATCTAGTTCTGTCTTCTGATAAACAGCTTTCCTTTCCCCCTCCAGCCCAAAGTCAGGACCTCAGCTTATCTCCATTTGTAGACAGAGACAAGCATGTGTAACTGTTCTTAAACCATAGTAAAGGTGGTTTCAGTTGGCAATTATTCTTAAAATTTCATTCTGTTTTTCTCTCTTTAAAGTGAATTCAGTGCTGGTGAAAGGTACTAGATTGGCAGCCTTGGAGACTGAAGGCTTCTCTTTCTCAACAGGACAGGGCAGCAGGGTGGGCTTCCTATTCATCTCCCAAGTAGTGTACCTCACCCAAAACGTAAAGGGACAACCTGTAGAGGTGAAAAGGTAGATCGAGGTCCATGGTCTGCTTAGTTCTTGGCCTCTCTAGTGATCCTGTCAACAGGAACACCAACTGGGGTGATGGGCTTCAGTTACATCGATATGGAGACGGAATGAAATTACCAACTCACCAATAGAAGGCCATCACGTAATGCCACCTTCCTGTCAGCACCAACCTGGGCTGGTTTGGCACTGGCAGCTTAGAAGGGTAAGGCTTTGTATGCCAGACTTTACCATTCCTTCACGGCATTTTTTGTTGTGTTAACTTTCAGTTGAGATTTAACATTTTGCTCTTAGCCAATTCTACCCTGGAGTACTATACACTAGCATGAATTTCCTCTAGCTACAGATGTACGAAGTGGAAATGGGTCTCTTCTCTACCCAGACTATCATGTTCTTTCCATGCCAGTGTGATTCTTAATTCAGCAATGCCCTATTTCCACTAACAAGTGAGCCCATAAAAATTGACATTTGGGTTTGCTTATATTCCTTTTTTACCTTAAAGTGATTAGAAGCTTCATCTCTTATTTTGCCTGTGTGCGTGTGCGTGTGTGTGCGCGTGTGCGCACACGCGTGTGTAAGGTGTTGCCCTTGGTTGGTTTACTACAATGGCCCATCTCCATTTGAGAAACTGGCACCAAGTACAGCAGACTGGAACCAAGTAAGAGCCTTTGGGAGGTGCCAGTCAGGAAAGTGCCATAGAAGGAAGGAATGAAAGAGAACTGAGTTAAGTGGTCTGGTCCCTGGAGGATTATAGTGCTAGGACACATCACCATTTTAAACCCACCATAGAGGAACTCCTAAGGTATTCTGAGGTCACAGAGTCCTGAGCCATCCAGTGACAGGTCCCACACTCAACCCCCCTGTTGACAATTAGTGCCTAGTGCATGCATCAGCATTTGGCTCCATCTGTCTTTGTCCTTTGCTGAAATGTGCAAAACCCAGACCGTTTGGCTTGGCTGCAGGAGCAAGATTCCTTTTGTCTCAGAACATGCTTCGTGCTCCCTGGCAGGACTCACCGACTGACTGACTGACTGACTGACTGATTAACTGTTCATCTGTTTGTTCTTTTCCCAAAGGGGTGCCCAGCAGAGGGAGCTGAAGGAGAAGAAGAGCCAATTTCCCTCACCGAAGGAGGTCATACTGGCTTATCCAGAGTCTTGGGAAAGGGATTCCCACTGGAAGAGGAAATCTTCCTACAGACGGTATTGGTGTGGTTCTGGCAGCGGCAGCCAGGTCGTTTCAGGCTGTCATAGCCCCGCTGGCAAAGTTTGAGGCACCCCAAGGTAGGAAAGTAGCAGCAGAGGCAGGGCATGAGAAGAGAAAGGAAGCTCATGGCAGCCCAGCGGGCACAGCAGGACCCTGGGCCACAAGAACAGGGATCATCAGCACAGGTGTCCTCATCGTCAGTGGAGCAGTGGTAGAAGAGACCCTTGACACAGCAGAGACAAGTCCCATAGTCGATGAGGCTCTCAGGCGAGCAGAGGCAGCGCTGGTTGCAGAGCCAGCAGGAAGGCAAGGTGCGGGCAGTCGTGCAATGGACGCACTTACAGCGCCCACATTCCTCACAGATAAAGAGGTGCCCAGAGTGAAGGCTGGGCTTCTCTGCCACCCCCTTCAATGGTTCCTCGGGCTTCAGGTCAGCCACTCTGGGTGGCGTCCGGATGATGGAGTGCCCGGACTGTGAGGGCGTGATCCCACTCAGGAGCCTCTGGTCCGAGGCAGTGGTGCTATGGGACATGGAGCTAGCAGTGCTGGAGTGACTCAAGTGTGGCTGTAGGGGTGGTATCTGGTGGTGTTGACTCTGGCTGCGATGTAGGTCCTGGAAAGTGGAAGACACCAGATGGTCCTGAGACCACTCTGTCTTGTGGGAATTCTGTGGCAGGGATGGATTGGACCGAGCTTGCATGAAGGAGACAGCAGGTCTCTCTACATAGTCATTGCTGGCACGAATGGAGCGGATCTGGTCAATGGAGAGAATCTGTTGGAAGTCCTCAGCAGGAGGATCCATTGTCTCTTCACGACGGAGTTCAGCCACGCTAGAGGAAAGTTGCATTCCTGGAAGCAATGAGTGCTTATAGCATCAGGGCACATCTGAAAATCCTAAAGAAGAGGGACAGAAAGATAAAGTATTCGCATGAATTATCACTGCAATTGCACTTTCAAAGCAAACTGGAAAACAAAGGACAATGCCATGTACAGGTTACCAGGCGGGTATTCTAAAGAACATAACCTGGGAAAGTCTGAGCACAGGGAGATGAGCAGGAAAACTAGTAGAAAAAAGATCTTGATGATGAGGTCTACCAGATTCATCTTAGGAAGTGATAGATGCTATGATACACGGATAGATGCTGTGATACACAAGTCACTCAAACAAATAGTAGTATTTGGACCTTTTCTAGTACCATCAATCTAAGGAGCTCTGGGTGTTTTGCAAATGCTGATGAGCTGAGTCTTCTAGTCCTCTAATCCCATTTTGTGTTGTAGGGAAGTGTCGATAGGGAAAGTGAGGCACAGACCTATGAAGTGACTTGTCCAAAGCCACATGTAGAGTTTGCAATATGGCTGGGAGTAGAATGAAGTAGAACGACTGCTGCCTTGTAGGCTGACATTTCCCTACCATGCTGTTCTTCCCTTCCAAACTTCAATATGCAAAATGATCGAGTTGTGCGGGGGAGGGAATGACAAACTACACTAAAATATACCGACAGGTCTCTAGATGTATCCTTTAATTCAGACTCAGTTGCCTGGGCCTTTGTATCCAGAGCTTTCTGACTTGGACTCAGTGACACATAAGGGTCAGGCTTACCACTTTCATGAATACTCAGAGAAAAGCATTGGTGGGGGGGTGGGGGGTGTCTGTTGACAAAATGCTCAAACTAACAGGATCTGCTCCAGGAAACCAGCGCTTATCAGAAGAGATGAGACAAGCCCGTTCTTGTTACCTGCATAGATGTTGCCATGAATTTGTTTTCAGGAAGTGGTACTTCCTGACTCTTATTGCAGCACTGGAAACACATTCTGGCTTTATTCCAAAAGGGTTGGTGCCTCCTGAAGGCCTTAGGGAAGGCCAGAATGAACTAACTTGAATCATGCTGCTCAGGGGAGCCCCAAGGCAAAACCAATAGGCTGGGGAACAGCCAAGAGGGGGCACATATGTGCTAGTGGACTTGACTTCAGTTTAACATTGTCTCACAGAAACAACATTTCAGCCTGTAGATATGGCCACAGAGGACCAGAACCAAAGCAAACCCTTCTGACCATCTAGGAATAGACAGTCCTTGGAGGAGGAGAGAAAAAAATATAAACCAAACTACTACACATATCTGGAACAGAATCTAGTCAGTCCCTTTGGCTAGGAGAATTTTAACTAAATAATTTCCACACCTCTACTGTGTGCAAACTGTGCTGCAATTGGTCACATGGGAATACCTAGTGAGGGGAAGTTAGTTGTTTCATGCTTTACACAGAAAGCAATCCAAGTCTGCCTTGTGGATCATTTTAAGTCAAGATATTTTATTGTTCTTAGTACCCATATATAGGTTCCATTGGCAGCAGACTGTCTCAGCCATAAGCAGCATGGATATTTTTGCAGCTCCCAGTCCTGCTGGAGGGAATTTTAACTATCAAGCCTTGCCCTCGACTTCAAAGCTGGTCAGCAAGCCAGTAATATAATGACAGAGGAAACATTCATAGAGGCTAATGGCCACTGGTAAAAAATGCTACCCATGCAGTAGAAAAAAGCAAGGAGAAGATTGATTTTCATTAGCGAGAATGACCTTGAAGAGCAGAGAAGAGCAAAGGTAACTTGCTTTGATTGTTAAAGTGCGATCTGTCCTGTCCTATTTCCCTGAAGGAAAAAAAAAGTCAACCAATCTGATTACATTTGAATTTTATTGTGCTGCCAGGATCTTTCTGTCCTAGTCAATGAGAAGAATGTGGGAGGACTGTGAGAAGCTTCTTAATGGGACCTTAAAGATTTACTGGGGCTGCCACTGGCTAACAGTGGAATTTCAGCACTTCTTGATAAATTTGGACAAATTTTCTGAGCGCGTCCGGAGGAGTGTGCACGTGTGGTTTGCAGCACCTCAGAGTTATTTGAGGTGCTGCAAACTGCACATGGCACATGTGCAGCCATTCACTGTTCTGCAAATTTGCAGTGTGGCACCAAAATTTGACATCAGAAGAGCCCAGTGTAAAAAAAAAAACCCACAAAAAAAGGGGGAGGGCAGGGGGGCATGGTGCACATGGCAGCAGCTGCTCCACTAGAAACAGAGCCTGGCCATCCAGATCCATGCTGTGTTTGCTGGCCAGGCTCTGTGCAGCCAGCTCAGCATTACTGCTGCCCCAAGAGGCCCCCAGTACCCTAGGTAAGGCTGCTGGGGCCAGCACAGATGCTATTTATGCTGCTTTATGTGCTGTGGCAAACACATGCCCCTGCATGTGGGGACGCACCCTCTGAGTTTATAAACCTCTCCTTTAAACCACCAACTCACCAACTCCATTTCACTTGGCCAATGATCTGGATTTGGTCAGATAGCACTGAAACGAGATTTTCTAACCTTCCTGGCCAAAGGATGGAGAAGGGGGTGAAGGAAAGGATAGTGGATAATAGGATACAGCAAATATGAGTAAGAAAACAGAATAGGCCTGGAGCCCTCCAGACTCCCAGCGTTCTGGAGAGGGATGCTTACTCCACCCACTGCTGTAATGGAGAGTCTGAATGAGCTGCTCTTCGGAAATATGCGTTATCGATTGAATGGGTACGGAAGGATATGGATTCATTAGGCATAACTGGCAGGCTGATCTGGTAAAACACAAGGACAGCTGAGTAGCAGAGATACAGGGGTGACAGGTCCACAGGCACCTCAGTGAGGAGACGGCTGAGTGTTAGGCTTTCCAGCCCACTGAAAAGGAGGAAATGGCAGGATGCAGGCAACCCAAGGAAGTGAGACTATCTAGGGAAATTTGTACGGGAAAAATACTGAGTGCACAGGATAAGACTGTCATGCTAATTTAAAGACTGGACAGCGAGAACCTTTAGAACCAGTGGGTCTGAATGATGGATCAGATCAGGAATGCAGTCATGAGGACTATGCAGTAGTGAATGGACATCACTAGAACGTGGGTGACTGGCTGAATCGGAAGGGACACCTACCGATGCCATGAGAGCTGTGAGCCTCCTGATACAGTGGGTGTGAATCAGCAGAGTTTCTGAGCCCAGCAACTGCCCTTCAAGACTTCGAGAATGCTAGGCACCACTACAAAAGCTCTAGATCCCATAGGACACCAGTCCAAATCCAGGTAGCATGAGCTGGGGCGAGAGAAACAAGAGCCAGTGAAAACACAGCTTGAGACCCCCGAAGAACTGAGACCAAACAGGCTGAACAAGGAGTCAACAGAGCATTAGGGTGCAGAAGGCTGTCTTGAAAGTGTGTGAGACCTAAAGGAAAGGACATAGAAAATGGATCAAACTGAGGCTCTAGTATTAGGATAAAGTACTGAGATAAAGGGCAAGAAGACAAAGGGCAAGGATTCTGGATTGTGCTTGGACATGAGGACTTAATGGATGGGACTGGGATCCAGTAAGCACTGGGATTCAGTGGACGGGGTTTTAGGACTTGGAGGTGACCAGGGCCCAACTGCCAGAACAGTGGGCCCAAGGCAAGTGAGAAGGAAGCTCTTCTCAGATGCCGGGTCTGCTGCGCACCAGGGCATTGCAGAGCTGAATCCAGGTCCTGTCTGGGAGACCACAGCAGAGAGAGCTCCAGAGTGGAGGTGGGCTTGGACCCACAACCACAGGACAGTTGCAGAGGGGGTGGACAAACACTCTGGGTTTATAAACCTCTCTTTTTAGCCACCAGCTCACCTATTTAGTGTCATTTGGCCAATGATCTGGCCACACAGCACTGAAACGAGGGGCTTTCTTAACCTTCCCCACCAAAGGCTAGTGGATAATAGGGTCTAGCGAGTGCAAGTGTGTTTCCGAGACTGGTGGGACTTCTCCCGGGGCTGCGTGGGCGCGGGGACGCAGAGGACCGCGGCCTGAGGGGCACTAGGACCTAGCAGGGCCCTGGCGCCCACAGGAGCAGAAAGGATTGAGTGACAAGAAGCTGCTTGCGGGTCCGGACGCGCGGAAGCCGCCCGGCCGCGCCACGGGCTGACATAGACAGCGCGGCCACGGTAACGGGCGGGCAGGGCCGGCGGCGCCCGGAGGCTGGACTACGGCGCCGGCGGGGAGCAGGGAGCAGCCCGGTCCGGAGGCAGCAGCGGCAGCCGCCGGGCTGGGAAGGCAGCGG